CAGTTGGAGCCGTTCCTCCTCATCCCATGTTTCCATCCCTTGTCCAAAACCCCATTGCTCCAAGCCCCATCCAACTTGGCCTGGATCAGTTCCAGTGATCCAGAGCTTCTCCATTCAACCCCTTCCAGTGCCCCAGCACCCTCATGGGGAAGAACTTCATCCCAAGGTCCCATCCATGTCTTCCCTCTTCCAGTTGGAGCCGTTCCCCCTTATCCCATCCCTTGTCCAAAGCCCCATTGCTCCAAGCCCGGTCCAACCTGGCCTGAATCAGTTCCAGTGATCCAGAGCTTCTCCCTTCAACCCCTTCCACTGCCCCAGCACCCTCATGGTGACGAACCTCATCCCAAGGTTCCATCCAACTCTTCCCTCTTCCAGTTGGTGCCCTTCCTTCCCATCCCATGTTTCCATCCCTTGTCCAAAACCCCATTGCTCCAAGCCCCATCCAGCCTAGCCTGGATCACTTCCAGTGATCCAGAGCTTCTCCATTCAACCCGTTCCAGTGCCCCAGCACCCTCATGGGGGAGAACTTCATCCCAAGGTCCCATCCAACTCTTCCCTCTTCCAGTTGTAGCCGTTCTCATCCCATATCTCCATCCCTTGTCCAAAGCCCCTCTCCAGCTTTCCTGGAGCCCCTTTAGGCACTGGACCTGCTCCAAAGTCTCTCCGGAGCCTTGAAGGCTTCCAGGGATGGAGCCTCCATCACTTTGGGCCTCACCACCCCCATCAGGGCCGGAGCGCGGTGCGGGACACCCCCAGCTCTCCCCATTCCCTACTTTCCCCCCCCTCCAACCCCATTCCCTATCTCCCCAGCGACAGACAGTGCCACCTGCGGGTGTTGGACATGACGGGTCTCCAGGACGACGACACCACCGCCACCGCCACCGCCCGCGGGCCAGAAGGGATGAGCCTATGGTCGGGCACGGTGGCGTTGGCCAAAGCTTGCCTCGAGGTGGCCAAACACCAAAGGGAAGTGCAGAAACGCAATTCCAAGCGACGCAGAACCCCCTCCGGAAGCTCCTCCCCGCCCCACGCCGTCGGCGTCGAGATCCGCGCCGACCTCTTCGTCAACGGCACGTCGTCCGGCGTCCTCCGTGACGCTCTCCAAGCCACCGGCAGCCCCCTGCGGCTCCGCTGCCGGGATTTCCACGCCGAGGAGCTGTCGGTGACCGGGATCGTGGCGTTGTTGGAATGCCTGGATCCCGGCGGCGTGCGCCGCGTGGATCTGCGCTTCAACAACCTGGGCCTGGCGGGGCTCTGCGCCGTGGTGCCGCAGCTCAGCCGCTTCCCGGATCTGCTCAGCCTCAAGCTGCCCTACAGCAACGTGGACGTGCGGAGGCACGCGGCCGGAGCCGACGCCGGGTTCCGACGTCTTGCCACGCACCTCGGGAAGCTCCGGGCCCTCCGGGAGCTCAACTTGGGATCGTCGAGGTTGTCCGGGAAGCTCAGGCAGCTGCTACGGTGCGGATCCAAGGGGCAGATGGGATCCGGAGGGAGGTGGGGGCGTGGGTGGACATCAGGAGGTTCAGTGAGGTGGGGGTGTGGGTTGGGTGATCCCGTAAATGGACTGGGGTGGATGGATGGTGGATGGGTGGATGGGTGGGATGGATCGATGATGGATGGATGGGTGGGATTGATGGGTGATGGATGGATGGGATTGATGGATGATGGATGGATGGATGGGATTGATGGGTGATGGATGGATGGATGGGATTGATGGGTGATGGATGGATGGATGGGATTGAGGGATGATGGATGGATGGATGGGATTGATGGGTGATGGATGGATGGATGGGATTGATGGGTGATGGATGGATGGGATTGAGGGATGATGGACGGATGGATGGATGGGTGGGATTGATGGATGATGGATGGATGGGTGGGATTGATGGATGATGGATGAATGGATGGGATTGATGGGTGATGGATGGATGGGATTGATGGATGATGGATGGATGGATGGGTGGGATTGATGGATGATGGATGGATGGATGGATGGATGGGTGGGATTGATGGATGATGGATGGATGGATGGGTGGGATTGATGGATGATGGATGGATGGATGGGATGGATGGATGGATGGATGGATGGATGGGTGGGATTGATGGGTGATGGATGGATAGATGGATGGATAATGGATATACGGATGATGGATGGATGGATGGATGATGGATAGATGGATGGGTGGGATTGATGGATAGATGGATGGATAATCGATATATGGATGATGGATAGATGGATGGATGATGGATGGATGGATGGATGATGGATAGATGGATGGATGATGGATGGATGATGGATGGATGGATAGATGGATGGATGATGGATGGATGGATAGATGGATGGATGATGGATGGGTGATGGATGGATGGATAGATGGATGATGGATGGATGATGGATGGATGGATAGATGGATGGATGATGAATGGATGGATGGAGGGATGGATAGATGGATGATGGATGGATGGTGGATGGATGGATAGATGGATGGATGATGGATGGATGATGGATGGATGGATGCATGATGGATGATGGATGGATGATGGATGGATGGATGCATGATGGATGATGGATGGATAGAGCATGACTGAATGGAGGATGGCTGGATGGGTGGGCTGGCTGGCTGGATGATGGATGGACAGGTGGATGGGATGGTTGGCTGGATGGCTGATGGCCGATGGATGGATGGGATGGATGACGGATGGATGGCGCAGCCCTGAGAAGAAGGACTTGGGGGGTGCTGCGTGAGGAGAAGCACCCTATGATTTGTGTTTTGCTTTGGGAACCATCCCCACCCCATTGATCGACAGCTTGATCCCGGTGGCTTTGGTGTCCTCATGGCTCCTTCTCCCTCTTCCCACCAGGAACCTGGAAGCTCCTCTGGAAAGCCTGGAACTGGCCTTCTGCTACCTCCTTCCCGGCGACCTCGCTTTCCTCTCCCAAAGCATCCACGCTCCGGCCCTGAAGAAGCTGGACTTGAGCGGCCACCACTTCACCGAGAGCCTTCTCCAACCTCTGTGCTCCCTCCTGGAGAACTCCTCCTGCCTCCTCCACCTGGATCTCATGGAATGCCAACTCACAGACTCCCGCTTGGAAGCCCTGCTCCCGTCTCTGTGCCGTTGCTCCCGCCTCCGATGCCTGGGCCTTTTCGGCAACCCTCTGTCCACGCCGGGCCTCAAGACCTTGCTACGCCAAACCTCCGTCCTCCCGGACCTCTGCCTCGTGGTCTACCCTTACCCCGTGGACTGCTACAGCCGGGAGACGCCGCGGGCACCGGCGCCTTCCGCCGGGCCCTTGGAGGATGCTTTGGATGAGGAACGCTTCACCGCCGTCAGCGCCGAGCTCTGCCGCATGCTGGTGAGCTCCGGCCGCGACAACGCCATGTGGACAGCCAGCCTCTGCCGCCAAGGCACCCTCGACTACTTCGCCTTGGGAGAGCTTCAGCCCAACCCACAGCCCAACCCACAGCACTGATGTGGCATCACTGGGGGGGACACGGGACAGAGCCCGTGGTCCAACACCAAAACTGGGGCCGTTTCTCCTGGTTTTGGAGCTTTTGGCATCTACCGGAGGTTCCTCCTTGGGGTTTTTTTTTGGGGGGGGGGGTTGGCACCTTCTCCCTGAGGTCATCTCCTCGTTTGGGAGCTTGGTTGGCATCTCAACAGGGTTTTCTCCTCGGTTTGGAGCTCTTTTGGCACCTTCTGCTTGAGGTTATCCTCGTTTTGGTGCCTCTTTGGCACTTTCCACCCTGTTTTCTCCATGGTTTGGTGCCACTTTGGCACCTTCTCTTGAGGTTTTCTCGTTGTTTTGGTGGGGTTTTTTTTGACATCTACCTGATGTTTCTCCTGGTTTTGGAGCTTTTTTGGCCTCTCAAGAAGGTTTTCTCTGTTTGGTGGAACATTTTGGCATCTAGCAGGGGTTTTCTCATTTTGGAGATCTTTTGGCACCTTCTGCTTGAGGTTATCCTCGTTTTGGTGCCTCTTTGGCACTTTCCACCCTGTTTTCTCTTTGGTTTGGTGCCACTTTGGCACCTTCTCCCTGAGGTTTTCTCCACGTTTTGGAGCTTTTTTGGCATCTACCTCAGGTTGCTCCTTATTTTCGTGTTTTTTGGCATCTACCTGAGGTTGCTCCTTGGTTTGGTGCCACTTTGGCACCTTCTCCCTAAGGTTTTCTCCATGTTTTGGAGCTTTTTTGGCATCTCCCTGAGGTTTTCTCCTTGTTTTGGTGTTTTTTGGCATCTACCTGAGGTTTCTCCTTGGTTTCGAGAAACTTTGGCACCTTCTCCCTAAGGTTTTCTCCACGTTTTGGTGGTTTTTGGCATTTCCCTGGGGTTTTCTCCATGTTCTGGTGCTTCTTTGGCACCTTCCCCTGAGGTTTCTTCCTCATTTTGGTGCCACTTTGGCATCTCCCTGCAGTTTCTCCATGTTGGGTGCTGCTTTAGCACCTTTTCCCTGAGGTTTTCCCCTTGTTTTGGAGCTTTTTGGCCATCTCCCTGAGGTTTCCCCCTCATTTTGGTGCCTCTTTGGCCCCTTTTCCAGGTTTTCTCCTCAGCTGGGAGCTTTCTGGGCATCTCCCTGAGGTTTCCCCCTCATTTTGGTGCCTCTTTGGCCCCTTTTCCAGGTTTTCTCCTCAGCTGTGACCTTTTTGGCCATCTCCCTGAGGTTTTCCCCCTCATTTCGGTGCCACTTTGGCACCTTCTCCCTGAGGTTTCTCCTTGGTTTGGAGCTCTTTTGCCACTTGCTCCCACCACCACCACCACGGCTTCGATGCCGCCATTCCGGCTCCGCCATTCCTCGTTATCCAGGTTCATTAACACAAGGAATTCCTTAATAAATCCGGTTGCTTTGGAAGGGCTCTGGCAAAGAACCCGGCACCGCGGCGCCTTTTATTATCACTCTTCCCCCCCCAGATCCCATCCCGACCTCCCAAATTCCCACAAGGAATCAGCTCCGTTCTCCCACTTTAAGCTTCTTTAAGGCTTGGGGTCTGGCCCCGGTGGGCTCTGATGGGGACACCGGGAATCGCGGCTCAACCCTGGCACGTGGAGCCGGGAATATCCGCGCGTTCCCTGGCGCTTCCCGCACGGAGCAACGGGAGCAGCTCCCCGGTGAGCCGGTAGCTCCGGCCTTCCCATAGGAAGTGCGTTGGTGGCTGCTCCATCCCGTGCTCGTACTGGAAGCAGGAGCTCCATTCCCAAGCCAGCGCCGAGCGCACCAGCCCCACGCCGCCGGATTTGGCCGGCGCCGGATGGTAGAGCCGCCCGTTTTCCGGCAACACCGTCAGCTTTCCCGGTTGGAATGGCACCGCCAAGCGCTCCCCCCCGCCGCAGTAGGAGAGGAGCCCGGGATCTCCCGGTAGGAGGTGGGTGAAGACAACGGGCTGATCCTCACAGCGGAGGAAGTTCCGCTCCCGGCCGCAGCGGGATAGGAACGGGAATTCCGCCTCGTAGCGCCCGCTCCGGTTCCGCTCCAGCTGCTTGAAGAAGAAGCTCAGGAATGCCACGTCTGCAGGGATATGGGACATGGGGATGTGGTTAAATGCGGCTCTTCCGGGTTTGGGAAGCTGATGGGAGGAGGGATGGAAGCACCGGGAAGCGCCAATGGGAAGTGATGGTAGGGAAGGAAGGGATATGCAAATAGGGATGCCTGATCCCCCCCCCTCCCCTTCCAGTCACTGCTGCCATGGGATGGGATCCTGATGATTGGATCTCAAGGATGAGATCCTGATTAAGGATGGATGGGATCCTGGTGATTGGATCTCAGGGATGAGATCCCGATTAAGGATGGATGGGATCCTGATGATTGGATCTCAGGGAAGAGATCCCAGTTAAGGATGGATGGGATCCTGGTGATTGGATCTCAGGGATGAGATCCCGATTAAGGATGGATGGGATCCTGGTGATTGGATCTCAGGGATGAGATCCCGATTAAGGATGGATGGGATCCTGATGATTGGATCTCAGGGATGAGATCCCGATTAAAGATGGATGGGATCCTGATGATTGGATCTCAGGGATGAGATCCTGATTAAGGATGGATGGGATCCTGGTGATTGGATCTCAGGGATGAGATCCCGATTAAGGATGGATGGGATCCTGGTGATTGGATCTCAGGGATGAGATCCCGATTAAGGATGGATGGGATCCTGATGATTGGATCTCAGGGATGAGATCCCGATTAAGGATGGATGGGATCCTGATGATTGGATCTCAGGGATGAGATCCCGATTAAGGATGGATGGGATCCTGGTGATTGGATCTCAGGGATGAGATCCCGATTAAGGATGGATGGGATCCTGATGATTGGATCTCAGGGATGAGATCCCGATTAAGGATGGATGGGAGCCTGGTGATTGGATCTCAGGGATGAGATCCCGATTAAGGATGGATGGGAGCCTGGTGATTGGATCTCAGGGATGAGATACGGATTAAAGATGGATGGGATCCTGATGATTGGATCTCAGGGATGAGATCCCGATTAAGGATGGATGGGATCCTGATGATTGGATCTCAGGGATGAGATCCCGATTAAGGATGGATGGGAGCCTGGTGATTGGATCTCAGGGATGAGATCCCGATTAAGGATGGATGGGAGCCTGGTGATTGGATCTCAGGGATGAGATACGGATTAAAGATGGATGGGATCCTGATGATTGGATCTCAGGGATGAGATCCCGATTAAGGATGGATGGGATCCTGGTGATTGGATCTCAGGGATGAGATCCTGATTAAGGATGGATGGGATCCTGATGATTGGATCTCAGGGATGAGATCCCGATTAAGGATGGATGGGATCCTGATGATTGGATCTCAGGGATGAGATCCCGATTAAGGATGGATGGGATCCTGGTGATTGGATCTCAGGGATGAGATCCTGATTAAGGATGGATGGGATCCTGATGATTGGATCTCAGGGATGAGATCCCGATTAAGGATGGATGGGATCCTGGTGATTGGATCTCAGGGATGAGATACGGATTAAAGATGGATGGGATCCTGATGATTGGATCTCAGGGATGAGATCCCGATTAAGGATGGATGGGATCCTGGTGATTGGATCTCAGGGATGAGATCCTGATTAAGGATGGATGGGATCCTGATGATTGGATCTCAGGGATGAGATCCCGATTAAGGATGGATGGGATCCTGGTGATTGGATCTCAGGGATGAGATCCTGATTAAGGATGGATGGGATCCTGGTGATTGGATCTCAGGGATGAGATCCTGATTAAGGATGGATGGGATCCTGATGATTGGATCTCAGGGATGAGATCCCGATTAAGGATGGATGGGATCCTGGTGATTGGATCTCAGGGATGAGATACTGATTAAGGATGGATGGGATCCTGGTGATTGGATCTCAGGGATGAGATCCCGATTAAGGATGGATGGGATCCTGATGATTGGATCTCAGGGATGAGATCCCGATTAAGGATGGATGGGAGCCTGGTGATTGGATCTCAGGGATGAGATCCTGATTAAGGATGGATGGGATCCTGGTGATTGGATCTCAGGGATGAGATCCCAGTTAAGGATGGATGGGATCCTGATGATTGGATCTCAGGGATGAGATCCCAAGTGATGATAGCAGCCTGATTTTAAGGATCAGCTCCCAGTTAAGGGTAAGATTCCAATTAAGGATCGGATCTTGATCAAGGATAGGATCCTGATTAAGGCTGGGATCCCAGTTAAGGATGAGATCTGGTTTTAGGATGAGATCCCAATTAAGGATTGGATCCTGATTAAGGATCTGATCTCTAGGATCGCATCCCCGTTAAGGATGAGATCCCCATTAACAATTGGATTTCAAGGATCAGATCCCACTTAGAGATTAGATCCTAAATAAGGATGGGATCCGTATTAAAGATAGGCTCCTGGTTAAGGATGGAATCGTAAGGACTGGATTCTGAATCAGGATCGGATCCCAAGGATTGGATCCCAACTGAATATTCCCAATACGGATGAGATCCCAATTGAGGATTGAATCCCAGTTAAGGATCAAATCCTTACTAAGGATCAGGGCTCATGGATGAGATCCTGATTGAGGATCAGATCCCAGTCAATACTGGATCCTGATTCAGGATTGGATCCCAACTGAATACTCCCAATACGGATGAGATCCCAGTTGAGGACTGGATCCCAGGTAAGGATCGGATCTTCATTAAGGATCAGGGCTCATGGATGAGATCATGATTAAGGATCAGATCCTGATTAAGGATCAGATCCCAGTCAATACTGGATCCTGATTCAGGATCAGATCCCAAGGATTGGATCCCAATTGAATACTCCCAATACGGATGAGATCGCAGTTGAGGATTGGATCCCAGTTAAGGATCAGATCCTTACTAAGGATCCATCCCAGTTAAGGACTGGATCCTCATTAAGGATCAGGGCTCATGGATGAGATCCTGATTGAGGATCAGATCCCAGTCAAGTACTGGATCCCGATTCAGGATGGGATCCCAAGGACTGGATCCTAGATAAGGCTGAGATCCCAGTTAAGGATGTGATCCCAGGGAAGGGCTGCTTTTGGGATGGGTTTGGGGCCCGGTACCTTTGAAGCAGGTGATGAAGTTCTTCACTTTGGTGTCATCCAGGAAAAGCTGTTGGAAAAGGGGGAAAAAGCCTCTGAATCCCAAAGTCTGCCTGGGATCCCTCTGGGATTTCTTTGGGATCTGCCTTGGATCCATGGGGGTTCTGTTTGGGATCCCTTTGGGATCTGTCATGGGTCCCTCCGGGTATGTTTGGGATCTATTGGGCATCCTCCATGGATCCACATGGGTTCTGTTTGGGATCCATCTGGGATCTGACCGGGATCCCTCTGAGATCTGGTTGGGATCTACCTGGGATCTGTCCTGGGTCCCTCTCAATACGTTTGGGATGTAGCTGGGATCCACCATGGATCCACGTGGGTTCTGTTTGGGATCTGCTATGGATCCACGTGGGTTCTGTTTGGGATCTGTCTGGGATCTGACATGGATCCACGTGGGTTCTGTTTGGGATCTGCTGTGGATCCACGTGGGTTCTGTTTGGGATCTGCTATGGATCCACGTGGGTTCTGTCTGGGATCTGTCTGGGATCTGCCATGGATCCACGTGGGTTCTGTTTGGGATCTATCTGGGATCTGCCATGGATCCACGTGGGTTCTGTTTGGGATCTGTCTGGGATCTGCTATGGATCCACGTGGGTTCTGTTTGGGATCTATCTGGGATCTGCCATGGATCCACGTGGGTTCTGTTTGGGATCTGTCTGGGATCTGCCATGGATCCACGTGGGTTCTGTCTGGGATCTGTCTGGGATCTGCCATGGATCCACGTGGGTTCTCTTTGGGATCTGTCTGGGATCTGCCATGGATCCACGTGGGTTCTCTTTGGGATCTGTCTGCGATCTGCCATGGATCCACGTGGGTTCTGTTTGGGATCTGTCTGGGATCTGCTATGGATCCACGTGGGTTCTGTTTGGGATCTGCCTGGGATCTGCTATGGATCCACGTGGGTTCTGTTTGGGATCCAGCCAGGATCCATCTGGGATCTCCCCAGGAGCCATCCCATCCCCGGCATCCCGAGGCCGTTACCGTCCTTTTGGGATTCACTGAGGGCCTGTTTGGGATCCATCTGGGATCTGTTGTGGATCTGGTTCTAGCCCCCCCCAGGACACCCCCCCTTGTTCCCAGTGTTCCCCCTGTGTTCCCTCTGTTCCTGGTGTTCCCCCTGTTCCCATTGTTCCCAGTGCCCCCCCTGTTCCTGGTATTTCCCGTGTTCCCAGTGCCCCCCTATTCCCGGTGTTCCCGTTGTCCCCCCTGTTCCTGTTATTCCCTTTGTTCCTGTTGTGTGTTCCCATTGTCCCCCCGTTCCCGGTGTTCCCATTGTTCCTGCTGTCCCCCCTGTTCCCGTTATTCCCGGTGTTCCCCCTATTCCCAGTGTTCCCATTGTGTGTTCCCAGTGCCCCACTGATCCCGTTATTCCCGGTGCCCCCCTGTTCCCGGTGTTCCCCCTGTTCCTGGTGTTCCCCCTGTTCCCATTGTTCCCAGTGTTCCCCCTATTCCTGGTGCCCCCCTGTTCCTGGTGTTCTCCCTGTTCCCATTGTTCCCAGTGTTCCCCCTATTCCCAGTGTTCCCATTGTGTGTTCCCAGTGCCCCACTGATCCCGTTATTCCCGGTGCCCCCCTGTTCCCGGTGTTCCCCCTGTTCCCATTGTTCCCAGTGTTCCCCCTATTCCTGTGCCCCCCTGTTCCTGTTGTTCTCCCTGTTCCCATTGTTCCCCCTATTCCCGGTGCCCCCCTGTTCCCGGTGTTCCCCCTGTTCCTGGTGTTCCCCCTGTTCCCATTGTTCCCCCTATTCCTGTGCCCCCCTGTTCCTGGTGTTCCCCCTGTTCCCATTGTTCCCAGTGTTCCCCCTATTCCTGGTGCCCCCCTGTTCCTGGTGTTCTCCCTGTTCCCATTGTTCCCAGTGTTCCCCCTATTCCCGGTGCCCCCCTGTTCCCGGTGTTCCCTCTGCTCCTGGTGTTCCCCCTGTTCCCAGTGCCCTGTTCCCCTTATTCCCGGTGTCCCTCCTGTTCCCGTTGTCCCCCCTCTTCCCATTATTCCTGGTGCACCCGTGTTCCCGTTGTTCCCCCTATTTCCGGTGCCCCCCTGTTCCTGGTGTTCCCTCTGTTCCCATTGTCCCCCCCGTTCCCCCTATTCCCTGTGTTCCTGGTGTTCCCCCTGTTCCCGGTGTCTCCGTTGTTCTCCCTGTCCCCATTATTCCTGTTGTCCCCGGTGTTCCCCCTGTTATCCCCGTTATTCCCATTGCCCCCCCCCGTTATCCCTGTTGTTCCTGTTGTTCTCCCTGTTCCCGTTATCCCAGCTGTCCCCTTTATCCCCCCCGTTATCCCCATTGTTATCCCTGTTATCCCCGCTGTCCCCGTTATCCTGCTGTGTCCCTGTTATCCCTGCTGCCCCTGTTATCCCCCCGTTATCCCCGTTGTTATCCCTGTTATCCCTGCTGTCCCCATTATCCTGCTGTGTCCTCGTTATCCCTGTTGTTGTTCCCGTTATCCCCGCTGTTATCCCCCCCGTTATCCCCCCGTTGTTATCCCCGTTATCCCCCGTTGTTATCCCTGTTATCCCCCCGTTATCCCTGCTGTTGTTCCTGTTATCCCCGCTGTTATCCCCCCCGTTATCCCCCTTGTTGTTATCCCCATTATCCCCCCCGTTATCCCCGTTGTTATCCCTGTTATTGTTCCCGTTATCCCCCGTTATCCCCGTTGTTCCCCCTGTTGTTCCTGTTATCCCTGTTGTTGTTCCCCTTATCCCCTGTTATCCCCGTTGTTATCCCTGTTGTTCCCCCTGTTATCCCCCCTGTTATCCCTGTTGTTATCCCCCCCGTTGTTCCCCCCTGTTATCCCCCCCTTATCCCTGTTGTTCCCCCCGTTGTTCCCCCCATTATCCCTGTTATCCCCGTTGTTCCCCCCCATTATCCTCCCCTTATCCCTGTTGTTATCCCCGTTGTTCCCCCCATTATCCCTGATGTTCCCCCCGTTATCCCCCCATTATCCCCGATGTTCCCCCTATTCCCCCGCTATCCCTGTTGTTATCCCCGTTGTTATCCCCATTGTTCCCCCCCTTATCCCTGTTGTTCCCCCTATTATCCCCCCATTGTTCCCCCCCTGTTATCCCCCCGTTATCCCCCCATTATCCCCGTTGTTCCCCCCTGTTATCCCCGTTGTTGTTCCCGGTATCCCTGTTGTTATCCCCCCCATTATCCCCCCCGTTGTTCCCCCCCATTATCCCCCTGTTATCCCTGTTGTTATCCCTGTTGTTTCCCCCGTTATCCCCGTTATTCCCCCCATTATCCCCGTTGTTCCCGCTGTTATCCCCCTGTTATTCCTGTTGTTATCCCCGTTGTTCCCCCGTTGTTATGCCTGTTATCCCCCCCTTTACCCCCGTTGTTCCCCCCGTTCTTCCCCCCGTTATCCCCTCATTATCCCCGTGGTTCCCCCCCTGTTATCCCCTCGTTATCCCCCCATTATCCCCGTTGTTATGCCCGTTATCCCCGTTGTTCTCCCCCCGTTATCCCCGTTGTTGTTCCCGTTATCCCCGTTGTTATCCCCGTTGTTGTTCCCGTTATCCCCGTTGTTCTCCCCCCATTATCCCCGTTGTTGTTCCCGTTATCCCCGTTGTTCTCCCCCCGTTATCCCCGTTGTTGTTCCCGTTATCCCCGTTGTTATCCCCGTTGTTGTTCCCGTTATCCCCGTTGTTCTCCCCCCGTTATCCCCGTTGTTGTTCCCGTTATCCCCGTTGTTGTTCCCGTTATCCCCGTTGTTCTCCCCCCGTTATCCCCGTTGTTGTTCCCGTTATCCCCGTTGTTATCCCCGTTGTTGTTCCCGTTATCCCCGTTGTTCTCCCCCCGTTATCCCCGTTGTTGTTCCCGTTATCCCCGTTGTTGTTCCCGTTATCCCCGTTGTTATCCCTGTTGTTGTTCCCATTATCCCCCCGTTGTTGTTCCCATTATCCCCCCGTTGTTGTTCCCGTTATCCCCGTTGTTATCCCCGTTGTTATCCCCGTTGTTGTTCCCGTTATCCCCCCGTTGTTCTCCCCCCATTATCCCCGTTGTTATGCCCGTTATCCCCGTTGTTATCCCCGTTGTTATCCCCGTTGTTATCCCCGTTGTTGTTCCCGTTGTTGTTCCCGGTATCCCCCCGTTGTTGTTCCCGGTATCCCCGTTGTTATCCCCGTTGTTGTTCCCGTTGTTGTTCCCGTTGTTGTTCCGGTACCTGTCCCTGATGATCCACCCAATAGAAGTACTCCCTGGTTCGCGGCTCCGGGCTCTGCCCCTGCCGGTACCGAGGCACCGCCGCCACCGGGCCCGGCCGGAGCCGCAGCGCCGGGAGCAGCCGCATCCCGGAACCGGAACCGAACCGGACCGGAACCGGAAATGGAGCGAGACCGAACCGGGGAACGGCACCGGGACGGGAACAGGGCCCCGCCGCCGGCCCGGAAGTGGCACCGGAAGTGGAGGAGACCGGTACGAGACGGGAACCGCTCCGGGCGGAAACATGGCCCGGGGGGACCGGTACAGACCCATAGAGACCCATAGGGACCCCATAGAGACCCCATAGGGACCCATAGAGACCCATAGAGACCCATAGGGACCCATAGAGACCCCATAGAGACCCCATAGAGACCCATAGGGACCCCATAGGGACACCATAGAGACCCCATAGAGACCCCATAGAGACCCATAGAGACCCATAGGGACCCATAGAGACCCCATAGAGACCCATAGAGACCCATAGGGACCCCATAGAGACCCCATAGAGACCCATAGAGACCCATAGGGACCCCATAGAGACCCCATAGAGACCCCATAGAGACCCATAGAGACCCATAGGGACCCATAGAGACCCCATAGAGACCCCATAGAGACCCATAGGGACCCCATAGGGACCCCATAGAGACCCCATAGAGACCCCATAGAGACCCAAAGGGACCCCATAGACACCCCATAGAGACCCATAGAGACCCATAGGGACCCCATAGAGACCCCATAGAGACCCATAGGGACCCCATAGAGACCCATAGAGACCCATAGAGACCCCATTGAGACCCTATAGAGACCCATAGAGACCCCATAGAGACCCCATAGAGACCCATAGGGACCCCATAGAGACCCCATAGAGACCCATAGAGACCCCATAGAGACCCTATAGAGACCCCATAGAGACCCATAGAGACCCATAGAGATCTCATAGAGACCCCATAGAGACCCATAGAGACCAATAGAGACCCCATAGAGACCCATAGAGACCCCATAGAAACCCTATAGAGACTCCCTAGAGACCCCATAGAGACCCCATAGAGACCTTATAGAGACCCCATAGAGACGCATAGAGACCCATAGGGACCCCATAGAGACCCCATACAGACCCATAGAGACCCATAGAGCCTCCCTAGAAACCCCATAGAGACCAATACAGACCCCATAGAGACCCACAGAGACCCCATACAGACCCCATAGAGACCCATAGAGACCCCATAGAGACCCCGTAGTGACCCCATAGAGACCCCATAGAGACCTCATAGAGATCCCATAGAGATCCCATAGAGACCCCATAGAGACCCTATAGAGACCCCATAGAGACCCCATAGAGACCCTATAGAGACGCCATAGAGACCCTATAGAGACCCCATAGAGACCCTATAGAGACCCCATAGAGACCCCATAGAGACCCTATAGAGACGCCATAGAGACCCTATAGAGACCCCATAGAGACCCCATAGGAACCCTATAGAGACCCTATAGAGACCCCATAGAGACGCCGTAGAGACCCCATAGAGACCCTATAGAGACCCCATAGGGACCCCATAGGGACCCTATAGAGACTCCCTAGAGACCCTATAGCGACCCCATAGAGACCCCATAGGGACCCCATAGAGACCCTATAGAGACCCCATAGAGACCCCATAGAGACCCCATAGAGACCCATAGAGACCCCATAGAGACCCATAGGGACCCCATAGGGACCCCATAGAGACCCCATAGAGACCCATAGAGACCCCATAGAGACCCATAGAGACCCCATAGAGACCCTATAGAGACCCATAGAGACCCCATAGAGACCCATAGAGACCCATAGAGATCTCATAGAGACCCCATAGAGACCCATAGAGACCAATAGAGACCCCATAGAGACCCATAGAGACCCCATACAGACCCCATAGAAACCCTATAGAGACTCCCTAGAGACCCCATAGAGACCCCATAGAGACCTTATAGAGACCCCATAGAGACGCATAGAGACCTCATAGGGAGCCCATAGAGACCCCATACAGACCCATAGAGACCCATAGAGACTCCCTAGAAACCCCATAGAGACCAATACAGACCCCATAGAGACCCACAGGGACCCCATACAGACCCCATAGAGACCCCATAGAGACCCCGTAGTGACCCCATAGAGACCCCATAGAGACCTCATAGAGATCCCATAGAGATCCCATAGAGACCCCATAGAGACCCTATAGAGACCCCATAGAGACCCCATAGAGACCCTATAGAGACGCCATAGAGACCCTATAGAGACCCCATAGAGACCCTATAGAGACCCCATAGAGACCCCATAGAGACCCTATAGAGACGCCATAGAGACCCTATAGAGACCCCATAGAGACCCCATAGGAACCCTATAGAGACCCTATAGAGACCCCATAGAGACGCCGTAGAGACCCCATAGAGACCCTATAGAGACCCCATAGGGACCCCATAGGGACCCTATAGAGACTCCCTAGAGACCCTATAGCGACCCCATAGAGACCCCATAGGGACCCCATAGAGACCCCATAGAGACCCCATAGAGACCCTATAGAGACCCCATAGGAACCCTATAGAGACTCCATAGAGACCCCATAGAGACCCCATAGAGACGCCATAGAGACCCCATAGAGACGCATAGAGACCTCATAGGGACCCCATAGAGACCCTATAGGCACAACCATCCACCCCCATAGACGCCCATACACGCTATAGACACACGTGTAAACCTATAGACACCCATGTGCCCTATAGACACCCATGTACACCTATAGACACCCCTGTAACCCTATAGACACACAGGCACCCCTATAGACACCCATGTGGTGTCCTATAGACAACCCACCTGGTCCTGTAGACACCATATACCCTTATATATACACCCATACCCCATATAGACTCCCATGCACTCCTATAGACATCCCTATAGACACCCATTCTCCCTAGAGACACCCATGCACCCCTTATATATGCTCATGTACCCTACAGAGGCCCATCCCCGTTATAGACACTCACCTGCTCCTATAGACCCCCATGTACCCCTATAGGCCCCAGACCCCCTACAGACACCCCTATAGACACCCGTGTACCCCTATAGGCCCCATACCCCCTATAGACACCCCTATAGACACCCGTGTACCCCTATAGGCCCCAGATCCCCTATAGACACCCCTATAGACACCCGTGTACCCCTATGGGCCCCAGACCCCCTATAGACACCCCTATAGACACCTGTGTACCCCTATAGGCCCCAGACCCCCTATAGACACCCCTATAGACACCCGTGTACCCCTATAGGCCCCAGACCCCCTATAGACACCCCTATAGACACCCGTGTACCCCTATAGGCCCCAGACCCCCTATAGACACCCCTATAGACACCCGTGTACCCCTATAGGCCCCAGACCCCCTATAGACACCCCTATAGACACCCCTGTACCCCTATAGGCCCCAGACCCCCTGTAGACACCCCTGTAGACACCTGTGTACCCCTATAGGCCCCAGACCCCCTATGGACACCCCTATAGACACTCATGTACCCCTCTAGACCCCATACCCACTATAGACATCCCTATAGACATCTATGTACCCCTATAGATCCCATACCCACTATAGACACATGTGTAGACCCCCATGTACCCCTAGAGACCCCATACCCCTTATAGACACGCCTATAGACCCCCATGTACCCCTATAGGCCCTGTACCCCCTATAGAACCCGTACCCCTATAGACCCCATACCCCTTACAGGCACCCCTATAAACCCCCATGTACCTCTATAGGCCCCATACGCCTTATAGACACCCCTATAGACCCCCCTATATCTGTATAGACCCCATTCCCCCTATAGACCCCCCATGTACCCCTATAGACCCCATAACTTCTATAGACACCACCTATAGAGACCCACAGACCCATAAGACCCCTATGTACCCCTATAGGCCCCATACCCCCTATAGACCCCACTATAGACCCCCATGTACCCCTATAGACCCCATACCCACTATAGACCCCCATATACCTCTATAGACCCTATACCCCTATAGACCCCCATGTACCCCTATAGACCCCCATGTACCCCTATAGACCCCATACCCGCTATAGACCCCCATGTACCCCTATAGACCCCATACCCCTTATATGCACACCTATAGACCCCCATGTACCCCTATAGACCCCATACCCCCTATAGACCCCCATGTACCCCTATAGACCCCATACCCCCTATAGACCCCCATGTACCCCTATAGACCCCATAACCCCTATAGACCCCCATGTACCCCTATAGACCCCATACCCCCATAGACCCCCATGCACCCCTATAGACCCCCCTATAGACCCCCATGCACCCCTATAGACCCCATACCCCCATAGACCCCGATGTACCCCTGTAAACCTCATACCCCCTATAGACACCCCTATAGACCCCCATGTACCCCTATAGACCCCATACCCCCTATAGACACCTCTATAGATCCCCATGTACCCCTATAGACCCCATACCCCCATAGACCCCCATGCACCCCTATAGACCCCCCTATAGACCCCCATGCACCCCTATAGACCCCATACCCCCATAGACCCCGATGTACCCCTGTAAACCTCATACCCCCTATAGACACCCCTATAGACCCCCATGTACCCCTATAGACCCCATACCCCCTATAGACACCTCTATAGATCCCCATGTACCCCCATAGACCCCATACCCCCTATAGACCCCCCTATAGACCCCCATGCACCCCTATAGACCCCATACCCCCATAGACCCCGATGTACCCCTGTAAACCTCATACCCCCTATAGACACCCCTATAGACCCCCATGTACCCCTATAGACCCCATACCCCCTATAGACACCTCTATAGATCCCCATGTACCCCTATAGACCCCATACCCCCATAGACCCCCATGCACCCCTATAGACCCCCCTATAGACCCCCATGCACCCCTATAGACCCCATACCCCCATAGACCCCGATGTACCCCTGTAAACCTCATACCCCCTATAGACACCCCTATAGACCCCCATGTACCCCTATAGACCCCATACCCCCTATAGACACATCTATAGACCCCCATGTACCCCTATAGACCCCCATACCCCCTATAGACCCCCATGTACCCCTATAGACCCCATACCCCCTATAGACCCCCCTATAGACCCCCATGTACCCCTATAGACCCCCATGTACCCCTATAGACCCCATACCCCCTATAGACCCCCATGTACCCCTATAGACCCCATACCCCCCATAGACCCCCCTATAGACCCCCATGTACCCCTATAGACCCCATACCCCCTATAGACCCCCATGTACCCCTATAGACCCCATACCCCCCATAGACCCCCCTATAGACCCCAGTGAAAGCTCCCGCAGCCGCCTCCAGCCGAAGCTTTATTCACATCCGGGTACAGAGACAGGACCCGGGGGGGGGGAGGGGCCCCCCCTCCCCCCCCCCCCCAACCCCACGGGGGGGGGAGGGGCTCGTGTCCCCCGTGATCGACTTTATTAATGATTAATTATTAATGATTTGTACATCAGCTTCTGCCTTTTAATAATAACAAGAATTCCTCATAATAAATAAGGATAAGAAACCCTAAAAAACCACCAACGAAAACGGGGCGAAAAGAGGGGAAAACGGGCAAAAAGCGACCGAAAAAAACCAAAAAAAAACCAAAAAAAAAAGGCCCCAACGGAAGGAGAAATTAATTAATTTAATTAATTAATGGGGGCGGGGGGGGGGAGGGGAAAAGGGACCCCTCCCCCCCCCCCAGGTGCCTGGCAGTGAGTGGAGCTGGGAGGTAGCGTGGGGTAAAGCCCCCCCCCCCCCCCCACTATGGGGCACCCCCCATGTCACCCATGGGGCACCCCCTCTATGGGACCAGCATCTGGCTTCAAAGTGAAGTGGGTGAGGAATGGGTCTCTTAACAGGGCTCTAGATGCTGATGGGTGGCCCCTTGGCACCCGTTGGGTGCTGAGTGAAGCCACTGGGTGCTGCTCAAACTCATTGGGTGCTCCTCAACTCATTGGGTGCTCCTCAGACCCATTGGGTGCTCCTCAACCCATTGGGTGCTCCTCAACTCATTGGGTGCTCCTCAGACCCACTGGGTGCTCCTCAACTCATTGGGTGCTCCTCAAACTGGTTGGGTGCTCCTCAAACTTGTTGGGTGCTGCTCAAACCCATTGGGTGCTCCTCAACTCTTTGCGTGCTCCTCAAACCCACTGGGTGCTCCACAACTCATTGGATGCAGCTCAAACCCACTGGGTGCTGCTCAAACCCACTGGGTGCTCCTCAACTCACTGGGTGCTCCTCAACCCATTGGGTGCTCCTCAACTCATTGGGTGCTCCTCAAACTCATTGGGTGCTCCTCAAACTCATTGGGTGTTCCGCAGACCCACTGGGTGCTCTTCAACTCACTGGGTGCTCCTCAGACCCATTGGGTGCTCCTCAAACTCACTGGGTGCTCCTCAACCCGTTGGGTGCTCCTCAACTCATTGGGTGCTCTTCAACTCATTGGGTGCTCCTCAGACCCACTGGATGCTCCTCAACTCATTGGGTGCTCTTCAGACCCATTGGATGCTCAACTCATTGGGTGCTCCTCAGACCCACTGGATGTTCCTCAACTCATTGGGTGCTCCTCAGACCCACTGGATGCTCCTCAACTCATTGGGTGCTCTTCAGACCCATTGGATGCTCAACTCATTGGGTGCTCCTCAGACCCACTGGATGTTCCTCAACCCATTGGGTGCTCCTCAGACCCATTGGATGCTCCTCAAGTCATTGGGTGCTCCTCACCCTCCACTGGGTGCCAACCACCATCCATTTGGTGCTCCTTAAACCCACTGGGTGCTGCTCAGACCCACTGGGTGCTGCTCAGACCCATTGGGTGCGACTACCACCACCTATTGGGTGCCCTCCTTGGTTCTGCTTCGCCCCAGGTGGAGCTGAAGGCACTTGGGGGGCAGCCATGGGGAAGGAATGGGAAGGGGGTGGTGGATGAGGGGGCTGGGGGGGTCCTAGAGATGGTGGGTGCCAAGATGGGTCCTGGAGGGGCTGGGGATGGTGCCTGCAAGGATGGGTCCAGAAGGAGATGATGGGTGCCAAGGTGGGTGCAGAAGGAGCAGGAGATGATGGGTGCCAAGGTGGGTGCAGAAGGAGCAGGAGATGATGGGTGCCAAGGTGGGTCCAGAAGGAGCAGGAGATGATGGGTGCCAAGGTGGGTGCAGAAGGAGATGATGGGTGCCAAGGTGGGTCCAGAAGGAGCAGGAGGAGATGATGGGTGCCAAGGTGGGTCCAGAAGGAGCAGGAGATGATGGGTGCCAAGGTGGGTGCAGAAGGAGCAGGAGATGATGGGTGCCAAAGTGGGTGCAGAAGGAGCAGGAGATGATGGGTGCCAAAGTGGGTCCAGAAGGAGCAGGAGGAGATGATGGGTGCCAAGGTGGGTGCAGAAGGAGCAGGAGGAGATGATGAGTGCCAAGGTGGGTCCAGAAGGTGCGGAAGGTGATGGGTGCCAAGGTGGGTGCAGAAGGAGCAGAAGGTGGTGGGTGTCAACGTGGGTCCAGCAGGGCCAAGCAGATGATGGGCACCAAGATGGTTTATGCAGGACCAGGAGGAGATGATGGGCCCCAAGATGGGTCCAGGAGGACCAGTAGACATGGCATGCCAAGATGGGTCCAGTAGGGTAAAGCAGAGATGATGGGCACCAAGATGGGTCCAGGAGGACCAGTAGGACACAACATGCCAAGATGGGTCCAGTAGGGTAGAGATGATGGGCACCAAGGTGGGTCCAACAGGAGATGATGGGTGTCAAAATGTGTCCATCAGGGCCAAGCAGATGATGGGTGCCAAAATGAGCTGGCCAGAAGCAGGAGGAGATGATGGGCTCCAAGATGGGTCCAGCAGATGATGGGCACCAAGATGGTTTATGCAGGTCCAGGAGGAGATGATGGGCTCCAAGATGGGTCCAGTAGGGTAAGGTAGAGATGATGGGTACCAAGAGAGGTCCAGCAGGAGCAGATGACGGATGCCAAGATGAGCGCAGGAGGACCAAGCAGAGATGATGGGTGCCAAGATGGGTTGGGCAGGACCAGGAGGAGATGATGGGCTCCAAGATGAGCTGGGCAGGACCAGGAGGAGATGATGGGCTCCAAGATGAGCTGGGCAGGACCAGGAGGAGATGATGGGCTCCAAGATGAGCTGGGCAGGACCAGGAGGAGATGATGGGCTCCAAGATGAGCTGGGCAGGACCAGGAGGAGATGATGGGCTCCAAGATGAGCTGGGCAAGACCAGGAGGAGATGATGGGTGCCAAGATGAGCTGGGCAGGACCAGGAGGAGATGATGGGCTCCAAGATGAGCTGGGCAGGACCAGGAGGAGATGATAGGCTCCAAGATGGGTCTGGCAGGACCAGGAGGAGATGATGGGCTCCAAGATGGGTCTGGCAGGACCAGGAGGAGATGATGGGCTCCAAGAAGGGTCCAGCAGGACATGACAAATACCAAGATGTGTCCAGTAAGGCAGAGATGGGCACCAGGGAAGGTCCATCAGGGGCAGAAGGAGATGATGGATGCCAAGACAAGTCCAAGAGAAACAGGAGAAGATGATGGGCACCAAGACAGGTCCAGGAGGGGATGGTGGGTACCAAGATGGCTTGGGCAGGACCAAGCGGAGGTGATGGGCACCCAGATGGCTCCAGGAGAACCAGGATGTGGTGGGTGCCAAGAAGGTTCCAGCAGCACCAGAAGGATGTGACAGATGCTGAGATGTGTCCAGCAGGAGCATGGGGAGATGATGGGCACCAAGATGGGTCCAGCAGGGTCAAGCAGAGATGATGGGCACCAAGATGGGTCCAGCATTGTCAAGCAGAGATGATGGGCACCACAATGAGTTGGGCAGGACCAGGAGGAGATGATGGGCACCAAGATGGGTCCAGCAGGGTCAAGCAGAGATGATGGGCACCAAGATGGGTCCAGCAGGGTCAAGCAGAGATGATGGGCACCAAGATGGGTCCAGCAGGGGCAAGCAGAGATGATGGGCACCAAGATGGGTCCAGCAGGGTCAAGCAGAGAGGATGGGCACCAAGATGGGTCCAGCAGGGTCAAGCAGAGATGATGGGCACCACAATGAGTTGGGCAGGACCAGGAGGAGATGATGGGCACCAAAACAGGTCCAGGAGAAGCAGGGTGAGATGATGGGTGCCAAGATGGGTCCAGCAGGAGCAGGAGGTGATGATGGGCACCAAAACAGGTCCAGGAGAAGCAGGGTGAGATGACGGGTGCCAAAGTGGGTCCAGCAGGAGCAGGAGGTGATGATGGGCACCAAGATTGGTACAGGAGAAGCAGGAGGAGATGATGGGGGTCAGGATGGGTGTTTCAAGACCAGGAGCAGATGATGGGTCCAGCAGACACAGTGGGTGCTCAAACAGGTCCTTTGGGTGCCAACATGAGGTGAGATGGGTCCGGTGTGGGGATGGTCACCATGATGTGTGCAGGCAGTGACCTAGCCACCAGCTCCTCCAGCACCCAAAGGTGGGCACCTGGCCTCAATGAGCCCCCCAAAGGGACCCCAGCACCCAAAGGGACCCCCCCAATGCCGCCCTTGGGTGCACCCAGCTCCAGTTGTGCCAATGGTCTCCTTCCCTATGGGCTGGGCCTCTCCTGGTCCCTCTGGTCCCCTGGTGCCACCTTCTCCATGGGCTCAGCTCAGCACCTGGAGGTCCTCCCGGCCCCATGGCTGCCCCACAGCTCTGCTCTCAACCAGCCGCCCAACCCCAACATTGATGTGGATGGACCCCAACCCTGCTCAGATGCCACCAGGTCCTCGCTGCCACCCATGACCACCCAGGACGGTGGAAGCGTCGCCCATGGGATGCTCCTCAGATGTCCAATGGGTGCTGCCATCCCTTGGTGACCCCACCATGGCCAACCATTGGTGACCCCACCACAGCCAACCCCTTGGTGACTCCACCACGGCCATCCCTTGGTGACACCACCATGGCCAATCCATTGGTGACCCCACCATGGCCAACCCTTGGTGACCTCACCACAGCCACACCCTTGGTGACCACCATGGCCAACCCCTTGGTGACCCCACCACGGCCATCCCTTGGTGACCCCACCACGGCCATCCCTTGGTGACCCCACCATGGCCAACCCCTTGGTGACCCCACCATGGCCAATCCATCGGTGACCTCACCATGGCCAACCTTTGGTGACCCCACCATGGCCAACCCCTTGGTGACCCCACCATGGCCAATCCATCGGTGACCTCACCATGGCCAACCCCTTGGTGACCCCACCATGGCCAATCCATCGGTGACCTCACCATGGCCAACCCTTAGTGACTCCACCATGGCCAACCCTTGGTGACTCGCACCATGGCCAATCCATCGGTGACCCCACCATGGCCAACCCTTAGGGACTCCCACCATGGCCAACCCTTGGTGAATCTCACCATGGCCAACCCCTAGGTGACTCGCACCATGGCCAACCCCTTGGTGACCCCACCATGGCCAATCCATTGGTGACTCCCACCATGGCCAATCCATTGGTGACCCCACCATGGCCAATCCATCGGTGATCCCACCATGGCCATCCCTTGGTGACCCCACCATGGCCAACCATTGGTGACCCCACCATAGCCAATCCATTGGTAACTCGCACCATGGCCATCCCTTGGTGACCCCACCATGGCCAATCCATTGGTGACAACCATGGCCATCCCTTGGTGACCCCACCATGGCCAACCATTGGTGACCCCACCATAGCCAATCCATTGGTGACAACCATGGCCATCCCTTGGTGACCCCACCATAGCCAATCCATTGGTGACAACCATGGCCATCCCTTGGTGACCCCACCATGGCCAATCCATTGGTGACAACCATGGCCATCCCTTGGTGACCCCACCATGGCCAACCATTGGTGACCCCATCATAGCCAATCCATTGGTGACAACCATGGCCATCCCTTGGTGACCCCACCATAGCCAATCCATTGGTGACAACCATGGCCATCCCTTGGTGACCCCACCATGGCCAACCCCTCCGGCTGGTCACAATGTGACCAGTGACACAGTCAGGATGGGGCTTGGTTGATCCCATGTCTCACTGCAGAGGGGCCGGTGAAGGTGCCACCACCCCCCCCCAGCACTCATCCTCTGGTGGGGTCCATGTGGGGTCTTGGGACGGGGTGGGGGGGGGACACCTCGGGTGGCGGGTGCTATAGGACGCCCTCCATGAAGCTGGTGTCGAGGTGCTGGATGAGCACCCGGATGAAGGACATCTCCTTGCGCGTGTTCTCGAAGATGATCCGGGGGTCGTCCGATTGGCAGCGCAGGCAGTTGGGGGCCATCACCATGGCCAGGTTATTGACGTCCATCTTGGTGACCGCCACGTTGCCCGGCTGCACGAACACCTATGGGGCAGGCAGGAGGAAGGGGCAGTGTGGACCCAATGGGTCTTGGGTGAGATGGGGAAGGACCGCATGGAACGGGCTGGGTTGGAAGGGAGATTGAAGATGATCCAGTTCCAAGCCCCTGCCATGGGCAAGGGCACCTCGGGACATGGGCAGGCTCCTCTATGGGTGTTTGGAGCTGGAGATGCTCTGGAAGAGGTGATGGAGATGAGAAGGGGTATGAAGCCACCCCTAAAGAGGGGACCTGGGGGATGGCCAGGACCATGGGACCTCAAATCTGGTGCTGGCTCATGGAGTCATGGAATGGGTTGGTTTGAAGGGAACTAAAAACTCCCCCATTTCCAACCCACACAATGGGCATGGTCGCCTTCCACTGGGGAAGGATGCTGCTCCATGGCTGCCTCCATGGGCTGGGAGCATCCATTCGTCAACATTGGTGTCCCCACGTCCTCTGCCCTCCATCCCATCATACCCAGTCTCTTTGGGTACCTCAGGTCACACCCAGCCCACTGCAGGACCTTGCCCTGCGCCTGGTTTCAACCCTAACCCTAACCCAAACCCTAACCCTAACCCTAACCCTAACCCTAACCCTAACCCTAACCCTAACCCTAAATCCAAACCCAACCCCCACCCCAACCCTAACCCCAACCCCAACCCTAACCCCAACCCCCACCCTAACCCCAACCCCAACCATAACCCTAACCCCAACCCTAACCCTAAATCCAAACCCAAACCCCACCCCAACCCTAACCCCAACCCTAACCCTAACCCCAACCCTAATCCCAATCCCAACCCTAACCCTAACCCCACCCCAACCCTAACCCCAACCCTAACCCCAACCCTAATCCCAATCCCAACCCTAACCCTAACCCCAACCCCAACCCTAACCCCAACCCTAACGTTAACCCCAACCCTAACCCCAACCCCAACCCTAACCCTCCTGATACCCATACAGCTCCCACTTCTCCACCCCCTTCCAGGTCCTTCAGGTGGGCAAAACCCCAGCCCTTGACTTGGTGGCATCTCCAAAGGTGCTGTGGGGTCACCAGAACCCACCTGCACCCCTGAACACAGCCATTAGGGACACCATGGGGTCAACCGGGTGTTCCAACCGGGCCTCGAGCCCTGCCAGGGATGGGGCAACCACAGCCACGGAGCCCCCTTCTCCCCCCCCCAAGCGCTATGGGGTCGCCCCTGGTGGGTCCCGGCCGTACCTGTAGGAAGCGGATGAGGTAGCACAGCACCATCTTGTTGATCCTGGGCAGGGAGTGGACAACGGCGATGGCCGCCTCGGGGTTCTCGTAGTGGGTGATGCACTGCTCATAGAACTCGTGGGGGATGAGGGGCTCCTCCAGCTCCCGGTACCAGAGCTTCAGCAGGGAGGCTGTACGGGGAAGGAGGACATGGGGTGCTATGGGGTGGGGGCTCTGCACCTCCCCGCACTCATCCATCGCCCTCCCCCCGGGTCCTACCGGGAACGTGGGGGTCCTCCAAGCCCGTTGGGATCTTCCATTGGTCCACCTGGAGCTTGAGCGCGTTGACCTCGTCGATGTCGCCGGGGACCCTGAAGGGGGAAGAGATGTTGGGTGTCAAGCAAGAGGTGGGGACCTACCTGCCTCAGACCCACCTTGGGTCCCTCATGTGGGGCCCAAGAGCTGGAGGTGGAGGTGTTTTGGGACCTGGGTTCTGCCCATGGGGAGGAGGCATCCTGCTGTGATGGACCAGGGGAGGTTTGTATGGGAACCCCAAGACCTCAGCTTGGCTTCGGTGGACACCAAAGGATGGGCATGACCCTGACGTGGAGAAACCCCCAATGGTCTCGGAGCAAGGAGAAGTTGAGCTGCTCAAGGAGGAAAAGGGCCCCCATAGGGATGTGGGGCACAGGTTGGCTGCCCCATAAGGAGATGACCTGTTATGGGCTTCCCCCATAAGATGACCATGCTGGGGGTCTCCAGCAACCACAGCAGAATGGGGATGTGGGGAATGATGTCGTTGCCCCATAGGATGACTTGTTATGGGCTCCCCCCATGAGAAGGTCACCATGCTGGGGGTCTCCAGCAACCACAGATGAATGGGGATGTGGGCAATAATGTGGTTGCCCCATAGGACGACTTGTTATGGGCTTCCCCCATCAGAAGGTCACTATGTTGGGGGTCTCCAGCAACCAGGGATGAATGGGGATGTGGGGAATGATGTTGTTGCCCCATAGGATGACTTGTTATGGGCTTCTCCCATAAGATGACCATGAAGGGGGTCTCCAGCAACTACAGGTGAATGGGGATGTGGGGAATGACGTCGTTGCCCCATAGGACGACTTGTTATGGGCTCCCCCCATGAGCAGGTCACCATGCTGGGGGTCTCCTGCAGCTGTAGATGAATGGGGATGTGGGAAATGATGTGGTTGCCCCATAGGACGACTTGTTATGGGCTTCCCCCATGAGAAGGTCACCATGTTGGGGGTCTCCAGCAACCACGGGTGAATGGGGATGTGGGGAATGATGTGGCTGCCCCATAGGATGACTTGTTATGGGCTCCCCCCATGAGGATGTCACCATGCTGGGGGTCTCCTGCAGCTGTAGATGAATGGGGATGTGGGGAATAATGTGGTTGCCCCATAGGACGACTTGTTATGGGCTCCCCCCA